CCCCCCCTCTCTCTCCCTCACCTCTCTTCTCTCTCTCTTTGAGCATGTATTTATGGAGTTCATTAAGCATGTCTGAAATTTTCAAATATTTGATTTAAAACTACTTAAGCTTCCGACCCAAAATCCAACTCCTTTCTTGTCTTCATAGTTTCATTAACTTACGCCACTGTGTTTCTGTTTCTGTCGAAGGATCTAAAGTTTGCTTGGTCACCATTTGTTACGTAGACTACCGAATTATTGGTTTGGTAGCTGTCCTTTCACAAATTTTCAATATGCAAATGGGAAAATTCCAAAAATAAAAAGTAAGAAGAAAAAGGGGGGCTAAGGGAATTTATGAGTGGAAGGTAGGTGTTCCGTGGTAGAGAGAGAAGGAGGAAGGGGAAGACGGAAGGGGGAATGGATTTCAAAGTGGGTGGGGTTGGTTGGAGCCGGCAGTGGCGCACATGAGATGGGGAAAGGTGAGATTTTTTTTTTCAATTTTAATTGTTTAAAAGATATAATTGTTTTTCTATTGATTTTTCCATTTTTTAAAATACCCTTAAAAATAGAAAGACTAAAATACCCTTATACATTGATAGAAAATTGGATAATGTTAAAGTCAGATGATAAATCATGAATTTAAAAAAATTAAGGTGACATTTCTACAAAAATATCGAAAAAATATTAACACTCAACTATTTTAACACAAGACAACAATCTTATTTATGCACTGTACATACAAAATTCCAAATTATAACCAATAAACTCGGTAGTCATATATGAATGAACGTCGTTGTCATAAAACATCACACAATACTTGAGTTTGAGTCGTAACCTCATAAATAGTTATGATGAACAACTCAAATTTTGAGGTGTAGTCCTAATAACTACAAGTGTTAAATATTTCATCATCCGACACTAAAAGCTAAAACAGAGCAAGAGTTACAGAAAAAAGCTAGAGCACCAGCCAGCCAGGGAGTGATTACCTCAATGGTAGAGGTGTTTATTTGCAAAAACCCATGGCACCAGTTCGAATCCCCTTGTGTGCGCCTCCCACCGCTACCCTAGATTAGTTGATATAGCTCTATCTTAAAAAAATACAGAAAATAATTATATTAAAATTATTATAAATAAAAAATAAAAATAAAAAAGGCTTGACAGCATGATCAACATGCTGCACACATACATCTAGCACATACAAAAGGCTTGACAGCAGCATGAGCTCCAACACCATTTCAATTTTTACAAGCTTTCCTTGTGCTTCCAACTCACAATTTTGCAGCTTGCTCAGTTTATGGTTAAAAAATCACAAAAATTGTAGTTAACCCCAAAAAATCTCACAAAGTTGACAAAACACTATAAACAAATCACAAAAACATAAATAAATAATTAGAACCAGGATGCTTTACATAGAAGCAGCTGGGTTTCTTTAGGTCCTTTTCTGTGTCAACAGACTATCTTCATCAATCAAATACCATCATTGATCTGAACTTTTGGTAAACTTCTCATGGTCTTTTGATGAACCAATCTTCAAACTTTTTAGCCTTGACATACAAAATGAGAAGTAAACAAAATCAAAGCTCAACTGACTAATCTACAGCGATCACATATATAACATATCCAATTACAACATTATGTCAAGGGATACTAGTAAGTCACATTGAAACTTACCCGAAAGAACAACTCATATGATAAATTTGATTTCATCTGAAGAGCTTGTGCTTCTAGAAAACTAGACAGTAGTAGGTTGTGCTGAATTACATAGGTGGTCTGCAAGAAATCCAAGTAAGATTCTCACTTCAAAACTAAATCCATAATGTGACAATGTGAACATGAATAATGAATTACCTTATGCCTTTCCCCTGTGGAAGAATCAGAGGCTTCAAGGCTCTTGAGATTTCCCCTAACAACTGCTCACTTAGAATTTCAATCGATCTACAAAGAGTAAAAACAATGTCCACAAGTGGCAGCTGACCTGTCATAAGTCAACAAAATCAGATGAGCATTATACCAATTTGATCAAATTTTGACTGCTATCTAACTATGACGATGAAGTACAGAGACATGCATACACATACAAGTAAAAGTACAAGAAACATCGCAGCACGTGTATTAATTTTATGTAGCGCAGGGATCAAATTGAAAAATTGGTTTTGAAAATTTTACTTAATTCTTAGAAGATCATCTTCTCTGTTTCTGAAGTTGCACAAACAGAAAATTTACCTTATAGACAGAACAGAAGGAGCCGAATTTTTTGACAAAAAAAGAAGAAGGAAAGAGCTGGATTTAGTAAAAGACCAGAGAGCAAGATACAAGCAGCTCAAATGACCAACACTCAAGGCTTGGATTGCTTGTACACTTTGCCTTTCTCTCCCTCCCTCTCTCTCTAAATAACAATATACATGTATATAATTATATCTGGTTGAGATTAAGAGAGGTGGACTCTCCTCCATAGTAGTCATTCCTATCCATATGCAGTACCTATTTCAGGTAAATACCATATTAACATCAGCTAGCAGCCTAAACATTCTTATCAATGAATGATCTAGCTAAAGCCAATTTTATTGTGATCGAAAAAGAAAAAAGTTCCATAAGCTTTACCTTGAGACCGTCCACTGAGAGGTGAGGAGGACGCTGAGAATGCATTCTTTGAGGCCCGTTCCGAGCACTATGACGTTGTATTCTTCATCCACGGCTCTGAGAGGCAGAGAGATCAGAGGGGAACAGAGTGTTTGTTTTGTATTTGTGTTTTTGTCCGTGTGAGAAAAATTGGGGTTGGTTAATGGGAAGAAGAAGTTTGTGATGAAGAAGTGAGACTACATGATCGGTTCATAATTGTATATCATTTTGTACTCTTCTAGCTTATGATTTGGTTATGTTTTTGAGTTAAACTTGTGCTTTTAATCCTTTTTGTGTT